GACAGTGTTCTGCTGTTACGCATCATGTTTTCACTGGCCAGTTCTTTTCAGAAGTAGACCGCCATGTCCTTCTTCCTAGTCTGTCTTAGTCTGGAAGCTCAGCTGAAACCTGTCCACCATGGGGGACCCTGCTGGCATATGAATACCAGTGGCATAGCTTCCAGCATCACAACAACGTGTAAGCCCCTGTAGTATGACAAATTAGTTGTTACCTATTGCCGTTGAGTCGATTCTGACTCATAGTGACCCTGTAGGACAGAGTAGAACTGCCCCATAGGGTTTCCAAGGAGTGCCTGGTGGATTTGAACAGCCACCCTTTTGGTTAGCAGCAGAACTCTTAACTACTACGCCACCAAAGCTTCCACTTAGTTGTTAGGGAAGTGCAAATCAAAACTACTGTGAGATACCACTTCGCACCCACTGTTGTTAGGTGCCGTCGAGTTGGTTCCAACCATAGTGACCCTGTGTACAAGAGAACAGAACACTACCCAGTCCTGTACTATCTTCATAATTGTTGTTATGCTTGAGTCCATTGTTGCAGCCACTGTGTCATTCCATCTCGTTGAGGGTCTTCCCCTTTTTCGCTGACCCGCTAGGATGGCTATTATCAGAAAAACAAAAAGCAACAAGTATTCGTGAGAATGTGGAGAAATTGGAACCCTTATCCACTGGTGGGAATGTAAAAATGGTACAGCCACATTGGAAAACAGTTTGGCAGTTCCTCAAATGATTAAGCATAGAATTATCATATAACCCAGAATAGGTGTAAAATGATGGGAGTAGTAATAGCATCAGAACCTGTCTAACTTCATTGGGGGGGATAATGACCAGGTTCAGCCCAAGGCTGATCCCTCTGAGGTAGAGGTCAGGCATATCTCCACTCTCCAACCCATTTTTTTTTTAAACCGATTCTGACACCAGCCATCCCTCCGCGGCACCCTCCACTTCTTTTCTGGGTTCGATAATCCATTGCAGTGGCCACACAAAACTCACAGACCATACTTACAGGTAAATGGTTTATTAAGGAAGCAGCAGGGTGCAACTCAGGAACAGAATCAGAAAGTATGTAGGCAAAGTCTCCCTTCTTCAGTGCAGGACAGCTCTCTCAGCTCTTATCTGTGTGCAGACCTTCTCTTAGCCTCCTGAAAACAGGCTCGTCTCAGCCCCCTGAGAACAGGCCTCTTTTCAGCCCCTAAAGTCAAGGGCTTCCTCCCATGCCTGAGGACAAGCTCTTCTTGGCCCTGCCATGTGTCACCATTGACTCTGCCACTGGGCCCCTTCTGGGCCTTTCACTGTCTTCAGTGTTACAGCCCTTGACCTATGTTACAGCTCTTTTAGGAGGTTCCTTGCCTCCTCTCTCTCTCTCTCTCTCTCTCTCTCTCTCTCTGTCTCTCTCTCTCTGTCT